TGTGTCTGATAAATCCCCTGACTCCTACTTTTAATCTACATGCATGCAATACACATTGTATAGAGTGTACTAATCAATTCAAATGAAAGGGAAATGCTTAAACTCCGAATTGAGCGTAAAGGCTAACTCGGAATTGCGAGTTGCTTTTTAAAGGAATTGAAGATGTGTTTGTGTTCTCAAACTTCATGTTTATAGTGAAAGGTTAACAGGGTTGCTGGTAGTTCAAGTACGAAGTTTAAGAGTCGCAGTAATACTTTTATATTTACGTGTTTCACACATTTAATTTCATGTACGTAATCAAACTACGTTTCTGTTGGTAATGTTCCGAAAAATCGATATCGTGGTTTAGACAGAAATATATTTTTTGGGGTACCCTGGTGTCAATTTCTTTTGTTTTGGATTTTGTAGTTCTTTTTTGAAAAACAGCTCTTTTCATCGTGGTCCTGTCTGCCTCAGTGAGTATAACAGTTTAATCTAAAACGTTCATACATTTTTTTCGAGAACAAATTTTCACCGACAGATGTTGCTCAAGTTGAGGTTTTTAGAAATTTAAAGAGAAATATTGATTTTGAAGCTAAATTTGAATGAAACTCATATTACATTTTCTAAATTTTCTCTAAAACTCGTCCTTTTTTAAAAAAATATTGCATCATAAAAACTGTCTGTCCTTATAAATATTATGTTGAACGTTTCTATATTCAGTCATAGAGATGACACATTTGTAAAACCTACAGCAAACAAGATCAAATTTCCTTGTAGTGTGTGAAGAAACGAACACTATCTATCGTGTTATAAACAGTGGTGAAACGTTTTGCAAAAGAGACCTAAAACTTTCATAGAATGTAAATTGTAAACTAACAATGGCCAATGGCTAAACTGGTTTCAAGCATAAAGTAATTTTTTCTCCAATTTTGACATTCTAATTAGAAACAACACCTCATTAAAAATCATAAACGAGGAATGAAATTTTTAGGTCATATTTCTACTTTTGGGTTTATTATTTCTGTGGGGATTGTTTTTGTCTCAAGAGAAAACGTTCTCGAGGATACAAAGTAAATGAAAGAAAAAGGAATGTGGTAAAACAATTTAATTTACATATTACATAGATTGTTTGTCCAATACATTTTGGGTTAATTCAGACAACTGCCACTGAAGATATCGCCCCAATGTTGGAGCAGATCATGCTTATTAATCACCAAATGAAGTAACATCTCGTAACTTTCACATATATGTAGCAATATAGATTTATCTCGTTCAAGTAGTCTTCACATGGTTTTGTACCGTAGTCAAAAATAGAGGTCCCCACATGCACAGCTGCCGACCAAAATATAATTGGATTCTCAACGCCATTATATCTTCTACAACTTATTTCAAGTGTGTAACTGTAGGCTTCAAACTAAGTAATCTATTGAAAACACAATTCCAACTCCAGCTTCTCAGTGCCTCAGCTGAAAACTGAGCTATCTTGAGAAAAGAAACTTTGAGTTGCTTATAAACGCGAAGGCACAAAACTACTGCAATTATATTCCTGAATGCCGCAAAATGCTCCTCAGTAGCTAAGAGCTGAACAAGCTTGCATTTACTTCCCAGTCGCTTGTAGGCAACAATACACAAAACAACACTTCTTCGATTCTGGAATGCAGTCAACCACAAACTTTAACATAATTCCCAGTCGCTTGTAGGCGCAAGAAACGAAACCACACTTCTTCGGTTAGCTGAACAAGCCGGAACATAATTCCCAAACGCTTGAATGTGGCAAGGCGCGATACCATTTTCTTTAATTCTGGAATGCCGTCAACCATATGCACCTCTTGAGGGCAGAACAAATTTTAATATATTTCCAAACGTCTTGTAGGTATTGCACCTACGAATATACGAAACCACTCTTCTTCGATTCTGGAATGCAGTCAACCACATGCAGCTGTTGAGAGCTGAACAAACCGGAGCATAATACCCAGACGCTTGAAGGCGGCAAGACACGAAAACACTTTTCTTCAATATTGGAATACCATCAACCACATGCAGCGGTTGAGGGCAGAACAAAATTTAACATAATTTCCAACCGCTGGTACGCGGCAGGTCACGAAACCACTCTTCTTCGATTCTGGAATGCCGTCAACCACATGCAGCTCTTAAGAGCTGGACAAGCCGGAACAAAATTCCCAGCGGCCTGTCGGCTTCCAAACCCGCAACCGTCGAGTCGCGGCTGCAGGGCACCGCGCAGCTACACGGGAGTCGCGTCAGGGGCCGCAGAGGATGCGGCGGTGGCGGCGGC